TGGAACCATACCTCCTTGAATTCAGTAGGCCATTTTATCATCTTTGCATTGATAACCAAGCCTTGGTAATGTGCACGCTTGGCAGGGAAACTCTCCAATTTTATCCAACAACTCAAGACCTAGAGGAAAATCCACACACTATGGACATTGTGGTGTGCAATACGGTGCCTTGATCATAAGAGGAATCTCCTTCCCCAGCACTGTTTTTTTTAACCTTTATTTAATGAATATAGATTTCCAAAGTACAGCTTATGGATTACATTGGCTCCCCCCACCAATGACTTCCCTCCACCCACAACCCTCCCCTTTCCCACTGTCTCTCCCCTTCCATTCTTATCTAGATTCATTTTCAATTTTCTTATATACAGAAGATCAGTTTAGTATACATTAAGTAAAGATTTCAACAGTTTGCACCCACATAGAAACACAAAGTGAAAAATACTGTTTGAGTACTCGTTATAGCACTAAATCTCAATACAGCACATTAAGGACAGAGATCCTACATGAGGAGTAAGTGCACAGTGACTCCTGTTGTTGACTTTACAAATTGACACTCCTGTTTATGGCATCAGTGATGTCCCTAATGCTCCAGTCATGAGTTTCCAAGGCTATGGAAGCCTTTTGAGTTCATCGACTCTTATCTTATTTAGACAAGGTCATAGTCAAAGTGGAAGTTCTCTCTCTCTTCAGAGAAAGGTACCTCCTTCTTTGGAGACCTGTTCGTTCCACTGGGATCTCACTCACAGAGATCTTTCATTTAGGTCCTTTTTTTTGCCAGAGTGTTTGGGCTTTCCATGCCTGAAATACTCTCATGGGCTTTTCAGCCGAATCCGAATGCCTTTAGGGCTGATTCTGAGGCCAGAGCCCAGCACTGTTTGTAAATGGGCTTTTCCTTAGAAGATGCTGAAGCTGTAGGACAGGGATATTTGGAAAGAGAGTGAGAGCACTCAAATGAGAGGCAGGAAGTGCATGTGTACTCATCTGTCCTTATTATTTTTCCTTGACCTCCCTATCCTCAATGTTTCTTTTTGGTGAGAATTAGTTTTTGTTTGTTTTTGGTGGCCACCATGTAATAGGTTCAGATGGTGAGAAATGTTTGTCCATGAACCCTTCCAACAAGTTGGGAATTGACTTAACACAATCAAGATAGGTGTATGATGTAGTTCAAAGTTGGCTAGGGTATGGGCTATTTGCAAACATCCTAAAGATTTCGTTGCATCTTTATGGAAGCTAAACCTATTTTTTCAGTAACATAAGCAAATCATGGATGGATAAGTCACTATGATTTTTGGGTAGGTCACACATAGAGTGGTAGGTTTATTTTAAAATTCTATTTACATTCAATAATTCAAGCTCAATTTTGGTTCAGCAAATACAAATCGATCCATAGATTTTTCAGAATGCACAATTTCTGTTTAAAGACACCTTGTGTTATCTTGTAGGCCCAAACTTAAAAAAATGTGTACATTCTATAAATTTAAACCTATGTATACATACTACTTATGTTATGTTACATCTCTAATATAGGAGGATGTCATTTTCTTTTGATATCATAAGGATTACTGCATGACCAAAAACAAAACTTCCAAATCTCTGCATGATATTACAACTATTCATAGTGTGAGCTAATCCTTATCTTCAGGGCTTATGATGCCTAATATAGGGTATATTAGGTATACATCTTTGGGACCCTTAGACAAATTCATTGTAAATTACTCCAAATGATGGACTGTAAATAAAAGCACAGACTATTTCAAGTAATGTAACTACAAGAAAAAATAATTAGATGTGAAATAAACTCTTGGCTATTTTTTTATATAGCTATTTGTCTTTTTCCTAGACTTTAATCTCTTCGACTAATTTAACCTATATATCCCTTGAGTTACTAAATATTCTACATATAATAAATGGGCCATCTTTTGCTTCTATCCCAGACCAAGTGTCCTAAGCAATCCCATTTTTATTTCCAAATCTCAAGTTCTCTGTTGGGAGAGGCTCAGTTTTGCTTGAGTGGTCATGGCCTCCTGGACTCAAGTGGGAGAAATTTTCCTCACCCATGGAAATGATGGGGGAGCTGTTGATTCAATCATCAGGATTCTGTAATATTTTTGAGCGGGTTTCTGGAATGTCCTTGGGTATTTTTTGATGTGAATTCTCATACTTCAGAAAGGCATGTGGATGCAAATGCCTACTTTATTGTTTTTAAAGAAGCCATTTATTTCAGGAATACAAACTTCATGAATTTCATAAGTACAACTTTAGGAATATAGTGATTCTTCTCACCATACCTGCTCTCCCACCCACACGCCCAGACTCCCTCCTCCTTTTCCCACTCCCAGTCCCATTCTCCACTAATATTCACTTCCAATTAACTTTAACACAGAAGACCAACTCTGTAGTAAGTAAAGAGTTCAACAATTTGCATGAAAAAAAAAAAACTGTTCCTCAACAGTCGAGACAAGGGATGTTCAAATCTTCTACTTAATTCACTAAAATGAAATAAAACTTTGAGAACAGGTTTCACAGTTAAATCTCATTGAGGACAACTCATTGAGGACAGATGCCCTGCATGAGAAGTTAGTGCACAGTGACTCTTGTGGTTAATTCAACAATTAACACTCTTGTGTATGACGCCAGTCATTAACTGAGGCTCCTGACAAGAGCTGCCTAAGCTATAGAACTTTTTTTTAAATGTTTTTTATTTATTTTATTTGAAAGGCAGAGTTACAAAGAGGAGAGGCAGAGAGAAATAGGTCTTCCATCCACTGGTTCACACCCCAGATAGCTGCAATGGCCAGAGATGTGCCCATCCAAAGCCAGGAGTCAGGATCTTCTTCCAGGTCTCAAATGCAAGTGCAGGGGCTCAAAGACTTGGGCCAACTCCCACTGCTTTCCCAGGTCATGCAGAGAGCTGTATAGGAAATGGAGAAGCAGGGACTTGAAATTGCACCCATATGGAGGCCAACACTGCTGGCAGTGGCTTTACGTACTACACCACAGAGTCGGCCCTTACGGAAGACTTTTGAATCCACAAACATCATCGGATTTAGACAAGACAATAAACAAAGTAGAAGTTCTCTCCTCCCTTCAGAGAATAGTACCTCCTTTCTTGAAGACACCTTCTTTCCACTGGGGTTTCACCCACCGATGTCCTTCATGTAGGACACATTTTTGCAGTAGTGTCTTCACTTTCCATGCCTGAAATGCATGTGGGCATTGTAGCCAGAACAGAATGCCTTGAGGGTTGTTTCTGAATTAAGAGTGCTACTTAAAGTGATTATCATTCTATGAGTCTGCTGTGTGGACTGCTTCCCATGTTGGAACAGTCTCTCCTTTTAAATCTATTATTATGATTATTATTATCATTACTAGACACTTAATCCTATTTCTATGAGCACTTTAACACTTAATCCTATCCATATGATTATTTTCATACTTAAGATTTTTTTTTACCACCCAACCTAAGGGGATTTGGTGCCCATGAATGTCTACTTCTTTGATGGTGATGATGATACTATGATGTATGCGATGTCCAAAGTTGTCAACATACATACATGAAACGTACTAAATTTGTATTACTATACATCAGGAAAGCTTGAAAAAGCCATTTTCCCCTCATGCTTAAAAATTTGGTCTCTTGTGTGTGAATGTTTCTGTCTTCTGACATTTCAGGGAACAAGGTGTGATCAAACATGAGAACTTTTTAAAAAAGATTTATTTATTGATTTGAAAGTCAGAGCTCAAGACATATATATATAGAGAGAGAGATTGAGAGAGAGAGAGATCTTGCATCCATGGGTTCACTCCCCTAATGGTCTCTACAATAAGCAGCTGGGCCAGACTGATTCAAGGAGTCAGGAGTTTCTTCTGGGTCCCCTATGTGGGTGGCAGTGGCCCAAGCACTTGAGTCAGCTATCACTTTTCTTCCCAGGTTTATCAGCAGGGAGCTGGGTTAGAAATGAAGCAGTTGGGACTCGAACTGACTCCCATATGGGAAACCAGTGTCTGAGGTAGCAGCTTTACCTGCTTGGCCACCAAGCTGGTCCTGTGATGAAATTTTTAAACAGAATGTTCAAAACTGTGACATTTTGAAGCTCATGACCCTGATGTTGGAATTAGCCAACTACATATTCGTTAAAAAGATTTTGTTCTTCAGTAGCTTGATATAGAAGAATTGTAAACAATGGTATCAATCAAAATAACAGAGGTGAAACTTGTCCAAAATTTCAAATGTACCAAATGCTACTGATTTGTTTACCTGAAAATACTTCAGAGGCTGACCCTGTGGCACAGTAGGTTAATTCTCTACCTGTAGTGCGCCAGCATCCAATATGGGCACTGGTTGGTGTCCCAGTTGCTCCTCTTCCAATCCAGCTATCTGAGAAGCCTGGGAAAGTAGTAAAAGATGGCTCAAGCACTTGGGCCCCTACACCAATGTGGGAGACCCAGAAGAAGCTCCTGGCTCCTGATTCAGATTGGCATAGCTCCAGCCACTGCGACCATTTGGGGAAAGAACCAGTGGATACAAGACCTTTCTCTCTGTCTCTCCCTCTCACTCTCTGTAACTCCACCTCTCAAAAAATGAATAAAAAATTTTAAAAGTGAAAATCATTCACATGGACATCAGAGGAAGAGAATGTCTTTGGAGCAGGGGCCATCATTTCCTTTAATGTTAAGTAATGGAAGAAGAAAAGAGTAAGGCAATAATCCCTCAATAGATTACCGATGAAGATGGTGATGTAAAAATGAAAAAAAAAAACTGTAAAGAGAAACTTAAACACTTTCTCAAGGGAAACTTATCATGTCCCCCACAAAAAGAGGCACAGTCCACACTTCCTTTCTATCAGAGTTTAATAAAGTACAGTTGGGGATTACTGGATCCATAAGAGGGCCGAACTGGCATTACACACAAGACCAACATGGAAAGCTCTTTCTTGGGGGCTCCCCCACCCCACAGAGCCTGTACCACATGGCTGCCCCTTCTCTCCAGCTTCCCATGTTCAGTCTCCCCTCCCCACCTTCTCTTCCTCTCTGATGATCTTGTCTGCCTGCAGGGCCTCAGCCAGTCTCCTCCTCAGCTCCTTCACTTTCCTTGTCTGCCTTTTGATGTCCTCAGGAGTTACCTGCCAGCTGGAGAAGGCCAGGAGACACCCAGATCTGCTGGTGGAATCACCACTACCACCTTGGAGGCTGGCTTGGGCCTGGACTGCAGACCCCCAGCACCAACCGGACCTGGGGATCTGCTTGGGATTGCTGGTGCTGTCATCTTCCAGGAGTTTGCAAATTCCAAAGTGGGTAAAGGCTCTCCCTCGTTGCTGCTGGCGCAGAGCCCCTGCAGTCGCCTGAGTGCACAGACCTGCTGGGGCTTCTCCAGGTACCCCTCTGTCAGCAAGTGTTGAACCACATTGCCCGGGTGGGCAGACTCGAGTGATCAGACTCTTGAAGATGCAGCTGGTCAGTCTGACTGGCTGTGCAGAGCCTGCTCTGGGTCTCGGCTTGGCCTTCAACACACGCGCTACTTGCTTCCTTTGCAAGGTCTCAGGAATAATCATTCTTCTCAGTCTCCCCTTGGAAAACAAAATCAAACTTGAGCAGAGTGGAAGACACAGACTTCCAGCCATGGAAGGGGTCCCAGGTGCCTCCACCTCCCCTTCTCCTGGTGGAAGCTGCCTCGCACTGTGCACCATTGTCATCCAAAAGGTTTGAGGCCAAGTGCATTGGAACCACAGGCGGTTTGAGGGGATGAGAACAAAAAGCTGTGTGTTTTAGGGTTTGTTTTTATTTGATAGCAGAGTGCCAGAGAGAGAAGGAGAGAGGGGGAGGATGGAAGATCATCTTTCACTAGCTCTTACTATTGTTCTATGTAACTCTTCCTTTGAAATAAATTAAGAAATATTTCAGAACAATCTGGTCTATGATCCCAAGAAAGTTCACATAATTAAGGGTAGATGACATTGATGTCACTCAAAACCAGGGAGTGAAGCCCCATGTTTGAAGTTGTGGCCATGGTTGGAGTGAACCAGCACGTGGAGGGCTTCTCCCCCTCTCTTTCTCTCCCAATCTCTGCCTGTAACCCAGCCTTCCAAATAAATAACTAAATCTTTAGAAAAATCCTGTCAGTTACTGAGAGAAATTTAAGTAAAGAAAGAAGTACACCAGTGGACACTGGGTGGTCACAATAATTCTCAACTCACCAGGGAGGGCTGGCTTGGAGATGAGAATGACGCAGGTTCTCCCATGGTCACAAGTTTTGCCTGGCTGCCCTCAGAGTAGGATGCATACAGCCTGTGGATTCTTGGAAAATGCTGGATCTTTGCCTTCTGGCTGTCCTTATAGAGGAAGACAATAGATAAGCAAAACAGTGGGAAATCCACAGCTACCGGGAAAAATGCAATTAATTCCCCCAGTCACAATCCCATCAGTGGATAAGCCACAGACCAAGGAAAAATATATGGAAAACATATTTATATGTAAAAATCTAGAAAGTTTCCATACACAGAAATTTGCATATGCCATTGGTTTTAATAGGCTACAGGAGAAATTGTGCTGCTGTTGTGGCCCAGGGGAATAAGCCAGCCTGGAATCCCACATCCTTAGAGGCACAGGTTGGAGTCCTGGCTCCTGTGCTTCCAATCCTGCTCCCTGATGAGTATGGAAAAGGAGTAGAAAGCACCAGCGGATGCAAGATGGCTCTTTGGGTCTCCCTATCCCACTGCCACTTTGCCTTTCTAAATAAATAAGGAAGGAAGGAAACCAGTAGTAAATAGGAAAAAAGGATGATTTCAAAAATCAAATCCTGTGGCTGGGCTGTGGCATAGCAGGTAAAACCACTGCCTGCAGTATCGAATCCCATAGGGTCACTGGTTTTAGTCCTGGCTGCTCCACTTTTGACCCAGCACTTTGCTATGGCCTGCGAAGGCAATAGAGGATGGCCCAAGTCCTTGGGCCCTTGTACCCATGTGGGAGACCCAGTCGAAGTTCTTGGCTACTGGCTTCGGATCTGCACAGCTAAGGCTATGTAAACAACTGGGGTGTGAACAAGTGGATGAAGAATTTTTTTCTCTCTCTCTCGCCTCTCCATCTCCCTCTGTAAACTCTGACTTTCAAATAAATAAACTACTCTATAAAAATCAAATCCTGTAAAATTGCACAAGGGTTATTGGAAAAACAATCACATAAGGAGCAAGAGAATTGTTTAACAGAATTGCATACCATAGGCAGTTCTTACTGGATGGGATTTTAATCAGGGGAGGTTCTATTGGATTGACTTTCATTGATAGACTGCCAGCGATCATTATTCTGATTGATTGAGTTCTGCCTAGCAAACCCTTCCCCCCATAAGCTCATCAGGCTGAGAATATGAGGAGGAAGCCAAGGCTACCATTCCTCCCTGGCTCTAACCCTGCCTCCCACACCTGGAGGCGTTCCCAGGAGCTCCCTCTGTCCAAGCTCACTCTGCCTGTGTGAGGCCGCAGGAACATCTCCTAGCACTCAAGTTGCCTGGGGTACCAGCTGGGGGGCTGATCCCTCTGCCTCAGGTGAAGAGAAAGAGCAGGAGCCAATGGGAGATCTGCAGGAAGCAGACATCACCTGGGGTTGGCACAGACAGACCAGAGAATCTGTACCATGAGTGGCTGCTGGCGCCCAAGCAGCCCCAGTGACTCCTGCCCAGAAGGGACCAGCGGCCCTGTTGGAGACAGCAGGTATGTTGGAGGAGAGTGTCTAGGTGACAGATTGAGTGTGTGTGTGAGAGAGAGAGAGAGAGAGAGAGAGAGATGCCTCGTAGGTTCCTGTCCCATGTCAGTGTGTGCTGAAGTGAGCACAGTTTCAGGGATGGGAACATCAGCCCCCTGGGTCCAGTGATGCTCTTTTGTTCAGCCTGTGCTAAAGGATCTGCAGGTGGGACCCAGAATGCAGAACAGCAGAGCAGACTCCTTTTTAAGCTGAGTGGTTGGTATGGCCCCCAATTGATGTTGTAATATCCACATGGGCCTTGGCAGATCAGAAGTCCCACCCTCAGGGGAGAAGAGGGATTCAGGCAGCCCCAGTGTTGGGCGTTGAATCTGGGGGACTGGGATGGGCTCAGGGCTGCAGGGCTGCAATGAGTTAGGGGCTTTGTGTAACAGGTCTCGCTGGTCTCAGCTGACTGAGTCCCATTCTCCTGCAGACCACACGGGACACAAGGCAACCTCCCCAAACGGCAGAGACTGCAGCAGGGTCCCAGGCCAGGTAAGGCATTTTCTATGCTCTCACCTGACTGCCCCCACTAGGAAAGGCTCCCCCTTCCAAGCCTGACTGGAATGGGGGAGGGACTTTCTCTAGGATGCCCAGGGCTGCAGCCACCTCCGTGGAGGGAGCAACTATGCCCCTCCACTGGGACTCCCGTGGGACAGCCGCCTCCCCTCGATGAACTCCGTGTTCCCCTAGGTGCAGAAGCTGCCCAGGAAGGGCAGCCGTTGTCCATGCCATGATGAAGCAGTACTCCATGCAGCCCTGAGTGTATGTCCTGGGGTCCACATGACTGATTGTGCTCCAGGGCCCAGGGAACGTCCCTTGGTGATCTTTTTGAGGGTTTCAGGAAAGTGACATTTTTGGGTGTCCACGGAGAGCTGGATTTGGGGGCTGAGTTTCAGGTAGGGACACAGCCACCTGTACCCTGTCAGCTGCTTTCTGACAAGCCCTAACTCCTGGCTTCTGCCCATCTAGGGCTGAAGAGTGCCAGCACCCAGATGATCTTGGTAGTCTTTGAAGTGGAACAGAGCTGCAATTCCACCTGGGAGCTGAGAGCCTGGTGCTGGGCCTTACAGAGAGCCCTGCAGCTCACTTGGGCCATGTGGTGGTGGTAGTGGTCCCTGAGCACATCCTGAGGCAGTAGAGGGCTCTGGTTCCCTGCCCAGGCCCCTGCATCCCGCTCAAAGTGCTGACCCCACCTGGAAGATCAACCTTGAAGATGGGTCTGTGGCTTACCTGGGAGCAGCTGATGTGTGCCACAGACAGACAGGGTGGCTGGTATTCTCCAAGGCCCCCAGCCACCATCAGCATGCCCAGCCAATGCAATGCCAGGAGCTGCTCCTCTCACTGTCCCAGCCCCCTCTTCCTCACACCTCGCTAAAGAGCTGCCGCAACTCTGGGCTACTCCCACATGTCCAAGCCTCAACTGGAGAGGCATCCTCTGCAGCTGAGTTCCAGTTGAGTCTCCATGACCTGGAACCCCTGGCCTGCTCTGCCCTCAGACCTCTGCCTCTCTCCCTCTCCCAGCTCAGGGCCCAGAACTTGCATCAAGGCCCACCCTAGGCCAGGCTGCAAGGTGCACAGATGTCTCTTCCAGCACTGATGCACTGGGGGCCCTCAGGCCCCACACAAACTGCAGACAAGCTGACAGCAAGACCATGGACACCTGCCCCTTCTGGGATTCCCCATTCCTGACCTCAACCCCTTCTCTGTGAGGGGGACACTGTGGGTGTTTGGTGCTGTGCAGAAATGCCATGTGCTCTCTCCAGACTGTCACCAGCTGGAGATGCTTGGGAGAGAAGTGGAGCTCTGTATTTGGTGTACTTGGAGGAAGGGGATTTTGCCAGAGTCCCTAGAGCTGTGCTGTGGAAGATGGTGTTTGTATCTCTTGTGATTTCTATAAATAAACTTAGGTATTCAAATTTTATATGGATATGCACTGGGTTCATGATATACATCCTAGATTTGAATTCAGAAGAAGAAGTTTAGTCAAATCTTTACAATTTGATATCCTATGTTTGTAATGATGCTACTTGGCTTCTTTTGGTTGAACAAAATACAAAAATGAGTTCTGTGTTTGTTGTATTTATTTTCTTTCACAAGCACACATTTCAAAAGGCACATTATAGGCTGGAAGATGCCACCTTTGTTCAAGGCCACAGTGAACAGACAGGGAGGGTCGTTCTCAAGACAGTGATGTCCACTTCCAAGAATCAGAAGCTCAGAACCAGAGTTGTGGTGCAAGAGGTTAAGTCCATGGCTGTAGCACAGGCATTCAATATAAGCACTGGTTTGAGTCCCGGCTGTTCCATTTCTAATCCAGGTCCCTGCTAATGTGCCTCGGAAAACAGCAAAGGATGGCCCAAATCCTTGGGCCACTGCACCCATGAAGGAGACCTAGATGGATTTCCTGTCTCTTGGCTTCAGCCTGGGCCATCCCTATCCATTTCAGCCATTTGGGGAGGAAACAGCAGATGAGAGATCTCTTTTTCTCCATCTCTCTATTTCTCTCTGTAATTCTGATGTCAAATAAATATACAAATATTAGATTTATGTATTTATTTGAGAGGTTGCATACAGAGAGTGTGGCAGACAGAGAGAATTTTCAACCCACTGGCTCACTTTCCAAATGGCCACAACAGATGGAGCTGGGCTGATCTGATACCAAGAGCCAGCAGCTTCTTTCTGGTCTCCTACATGGGTGCAGGGGCTGAATTACTTGGGCCAACTTCAGCCACTTTTCCAGACCATAGCAAAGAGCTGGATCCTAAGAGGAGCAGCTGGACTCGAACCGGCCCCCATATGGGATGCCGACCTTGCA